ATATTGTATACCCACAACTGGCGAGCGACTGCGCAAGATAGAGCCATCTGATGAGGGCTCATTGAGGCGGCCAAGGACGCACCGGTCTGTAGCGCCATGGAGTTAGTTAGTTTTGGTTGGAGCTAGTATGAACCCAGAGTACATAATTGATGATGACATCTCTATTAAGAAGAACCATTAGTATAAAAATGTATGAATCTAAACAAGAGATAAAGAATACAAATTTTCTACATTTTGTTAATGTTGGAAAGCAGAAAATATACAATTTAGTAAACGAGAGGTCTACCTCTACAGCTAAAAAAACAATATGTTTGTAAATTAAAATGTTTAAACATATAAAACTTAATAGTAAACGTATAAACAAAAATAAAATTATTATCAAAATATATTAAATAAAAAACAACAAAATTGTAATCTTGAAAACAGAAATAAAAAGGGCAAAAACAGAAATGAAAACTAAAATCAAAGTAATGGAGCATACGAGTACATGTCATACGAATACGTCCAAGTCCCATAGCAAGTTAATCATGAAAACCTGCTGGCCATCATCTCGTCGCATTTCACTTTGCCCGCATTGAACCAGACGAATCTGATCTTTCCTGCAGACCTCTTCTGTCGGGCTAATCAGTATAGGTATCGGTTGGTTATGGACATTGCTACGCTTACATATATTTGTGAGCGTCATTTTCCTGCCATCCCAGGTAACGAGTTGGAAAGTCCCGCATAACCTTCCGCCTTTGGACCAACTTGTCCCTGAGTGACGGTCTGATGAATCTCACCAGAAGGCCCGGGTGTATTATCATCCTGCCTTGATTTCATCCGCTCCGCGCATTCTTATTTATAAATATGAAGCTTCAATATGGAAAGAAGCAATGCTCACAGAATCATATAGGAGACAGATGGTCTCGGTGTATCACAGAACTTCATCAAGGGTAGATAGTGCATTCTGGACTGTATCCTATGAAGTATATGAGTTATGATTAGTAATATGAGAAACATTAAATCAATATTAACAATTAGATTTTATAGCTTTTTATTGCAAGTTAACCTTATCAAAACAATCAACATAATAATCTATCACATGTCAATATATCTTAACACTAAAACATATTTTATATTATGCTAACTTATGTAATAGCTAGTATGCCTCCTGTTGAACTGCTAGTTAATGAGATAAGCAGATCTTATAGTACAAGTTCTAGAGTCCCAAGGGAAGAACAGAAAATAACCATCATCAACCTTGAGATACTGCTGATATTGGAAGATGAACCTATAGATAAGTGTCTGATAATAGCACATTGTATGGTCAGCAACATGATGAGGTGGACTTCTATTTAACCCAACTGTTGACTGGACACGAGAGCTTTAGAGCCTATCAATATGTGAATAGTATGTTTGTGGAGTGAATGCCACTTCCGAAAATCTGGTGACACTTATGTTGCGAATGGACAAACATTGAGAAGCTGAGAATAAATTTGCCACAGTTATATTGAATAAATTGAGAGCGGAAGAAAGTATCAGGAGAGGCTTTAAGCCAGATGATAAATAAGGTCTCACAACGATTAAATGGACATAATAAAATGAGATGGCACATTGCCATTCCCCACCATGAAGTAATGCCTAACAGCAGTTCTGAGGAGAGAAATGAACCAGGTGAAGGGAGGTTGGTTTTAGTGGGTAAGAATCCCAGATATAAATAGGTATGGACCTATTCGTGTCTTTCGAAGATTTCCACCTACTCACGTAAAAAAAAAACATCATAAAACATCACACATCATTTTGCAGGACTTGGTTATTTGGATTCAGGGGACCTCAAAACATGTATTTTCATTGAAAACACAGATTCAAAAATTTTCACAATCGCAATACTTTCCTTACTATACATTACATATATAAGTAAGTGAAAGTAAAAAATATCACTGTTAACAGAAAAATTCTTATCTGTATGATTTTTATATTCTTGGACCCACCATACCAGGATAAAAACATGCTAGGTATCCATATTGTTCCAAATATCAAATCTTTTTTGACCTTACAACTTCAATATTTCTTCCAAATCAGAATCACCTAACAAAGTTGTTAGCTCCCTCTTAGTTTATGTGAAACTTTGAATGAAGCCTAACTATTTAATTGTGATTTAATAAAAGAAAAAAAAAGAATGAAAGTGGACTGTATCTTCAAACATTTATTTTGGAACATTTACGAAATCTAATATTGAAAACATAAAAACAAAATGAATCAATTTTACACTTGTTAGATAGGTAAAAAAAAATAACAAACTTCTAGCATAAAATAAAGACCAGCTGAACAAACAATTGTGACAATATTAATGAAATATTTTCATGCTTGATCATAAAAGAAAAACTATTTCTATGGCCCAATTACAATTTAAAAAAACAACTTCTCTAGAGTCCCAATATGAAATTTATATATATATATATATATAACAAATAATTAGATTGTACAACGTTACGTGGACGAAGCAGGACGTTCGTAAGCCTCTGTCTCTATGCAGAAACCAATTGTAACTCTTCAATGAGCGTGCTCAAAACGAACTGCAAATGGGCAGCGGCGAGCACGACGAGAGAAGTACGTCTCTTCAGAGTAGAACTGCAGTGGGCAGTGTTGAAGTTGGCAGTACTCAGCTCAGTGGCGGACGGAGTCAGACTGTCTATTGTCAATTCTACCGCCTTATGACTTGAACCTAGCACTTGTTTATAGCTAGTGCTACTACAATCCATAACAAAGTAGTCCAAGTATAAACTATTGATTTATTTAATATAAACAATATAAGCTATGGGCCTATAATACTTAATATACACATATCTTATACATAAATATACATATTATTAATTGATTTCACTTTGCTAAAATAAAATAAATTAACGCTGTGGTGTTAACAAAAGTTGAGTAAAATGTTGGAAAGCTGATATATGAACAAACTTTTTTTAAAATCTCTAAAGTATTAATTTGAAACTTCATTCCATGAGATTCCGCCAAGGATTGTTCAAAATCATTAATTGTTTTTTTATTATGTTTGTTGCTAATATAGTCAAGCAAAGCAGTATTTTTCAACAAATTGGTTATTATCTTATAAGAAATTTAACAATCCCTAGTATAAGATTTGTAATTGGTGCCCCGAAATACTCCCATGTCTCTCACCACTACACTGAGTTAAGGTGGCTCTTTCCCTCCTTTAGAATACAATGTTTCCTAGGTACGTTCCTTTATCAAATCAGCAACAATCATCGTCCCTCTTACGTCAACAACCTTCTCCAATTCAAGTCCTCAGTTCATTCTATTTCTACAAGATCTTGGCCTTCCAACCTTTACATCCCTTCTCACAGATCTGCCTCATTTCAAAACTCCTTTATTGCTCGTGCTGTCAGTTTCTGGAATTCCCTAACAATCAAAATTCAGCATTCTCTCTCCATATCCACATTAAAAACCCTCCTACTCCAATTCCTATCCCAAAAACAGTCAGATACCTGCTAAGCTTTTGATATTATGCATTTCTATTATATCATTCATCATCAAATGATAATACTATAAACTTCACTAGGGATATTACAATATCTTCCTACTCTCAATCTTCCTACTCTACTCTTGTTTATTTTTATTATTATTTTTTTATTCTTATACAAATAAATCTGTACCTATAATTACAATAAGATAATGATGTGTTAACATATTATTTATTATTTAAATACTCTGACGTTTTATATTGTCAGATTTTTCTTTCCTTTGTTAGCAGAAACACAGAACTTATTTTGAAGAAGAATTCGATGTATTTTATTTTATTTTTTCTTAAAAGTGTATAATTATAATTTTCCCTACTGTACATAATTTTAAGTGTCTTGTCATAGTTTTAGGTGTTTTGTATATATGATATTATATTATATATATTTTTTTTTTTTTTTTTTGTATATAGCTTGTTTAATGTTTTATTTACTTTTCTCTTTTTTTGTTATTGCTTTATTTAGGCCAGATGTAGTATTTTAATTTTGTACTATTTTGTTATTCTAAAGGGACTTTGTCCAGAATAAAGTTATTTTCTATTTCTATTTCTATAATTTATTTTTTTTTTAATTAGTATTCTTTATTTAAACTAAATTTCAGATCTATAGAAAAATGTTTCAATGTTCAAGATGTGGAAAATCTCACATCGATAAAGAATCGAAAAGAAGAAAAGGTACGATCAGGTAGCTGGCAACAGATGCCAAGGACGACGCCAAACACTTTAGGCCTGGACACCAACACAAGAAGACGTCATCTGGGAAGAGAGGCTTACTACATTGAAGACCAAGATTATCAAGCCGACCGTTCACTTATATATATTCATTTATTATCAATTGTCAAAATAAATTATTTTATTATACCGGAGTGAATAATCCTTTTATTTAGTTGTCCTATAGGCCTAACAATTGAAGAATAAACCAGGTGAGTCAATTCATTCAAAGTGTTTACTAAGTCCCACATTTAATATATATAATCTTATTGTTTCTTCTCACACAGTGTCATAAAAGGTAATAGATCCCCGAATTCCCAATCACAGTTGAACACCCTCAAAAAGTCTATATCCAGTGCCGGGGTTTTGTTTTAAAGATTCACAAGTGTAAATAACCTTAAACCCCGATATAAAAGCGGAAGGCTATGCGCCTATTCCCGCCAAAATGAATCATTTACATTTAACTTCCTGTAGGTTATTTACAAATCGTCTTTCTAGAGGATTTAAATTGCAGGAGACTGTAGATGTAGGAAGAGAGAATTGATCGTCCGATATATGTAAGACCTAATAAAAAGGGTGGAGAAAAAGAACCATTATAAAACACCTTTAAGGTGGGATACATAAGACCACCTCCAGATACCAAAAACAAATATTAAAAAACAGTTTATGATTTTCTTCAATCTACCAAAGAGCACAACTGAGAGGCCAATATATACCAAAATATGTTTCTATATATATAATTAAAAATATATAATAAAATTCATTAAAGTACCTCAAGGTTTCTTATATATTTTGTTTTCCCTTCTGCTACTGCCTTCATAGAGCCAAGGAACTTCACATCAGGGTAAGATGATAAATCAAATGGATTAAATGTCAAAACTACTGACAGATATTCACCTAGAAAACATTAAGATTGATAATTTATCAAAATAGTTAGTCACATTTTTTTTTTTAAATTCTACTTTACAGATATTATTGATATTTATTATTCATATCAATTTGAGATATATTGTTATTTTCAATATTATTTTCTTTTATTTCAGTGTTTCATAATATTTCAGTTTTTAATTTTTTATATAAGCCAATATTACGCCGATGTTTTCACTTCCAAATCCTACAAAGACCTTTCGGCTCGTCGAGGTTTGAAAAAAGACTTAGGATTAACAAAAAAAAAAGACTTAACAACAAAAACAAAACTGTAATACAAAAATCACAAAAACTAAATCAGCTACTGGGCTTTCTCACCATACTATGCAAACTAAACACGAATTAGATTTTAAAAATGCTTAAGTCCTTCATAATGAAAATAATACCTGTAAGCATAGAATAAAGGAAGCTATACATATTACATGGGTGATAAATATTCAGGAAGCAGTCATTATAAAGTTTTTTATTGGTGACGATGTTTCAACCCAAACATGTGGGTCATCATCAGGGCGTGTTTCAAGCACTGAAGGTATTTGAGTACTTGAATACATTAAGTGCTCGAAACAACCCCTGATGGCCCATATGTTTGGGTTGCAACGTTGGCACCAATAAAAACTTTATAATGACTGCATCCTGAATATTTATCAACCATGATATGTAGAACAGCCAACAAACTTCCTTCAATAATTCTGTATATATATATATATATATATATATATATATATATATATAACTTACGTCGGTTCGAACAAAGAAAGATAAAAAAAAGAAAGAAAGGTTCGTAATAAAACACGTGGCTGCTCAAATAAGACTGCCTTTATTCTCTCCCTAATGCTATATATATAGCATTACAGTTTGTTTACAACTGTTGAATAGGATTAAATAATATATCAACTTACATCTAACCATAACTCCCCCCCGCCAGTTTATGAACACTCCTCATAAACTAACGATGGGTTACTGATATAATACATAACAAAACAAAACAACAAACAAAATAAATTTCCTTGGCGTTCCCATACAGCCATAGTACAGAACAAATAAAATTAAACATTTTCCTGCAACAAAAAAAACAAAGAGCTACAACTGAAATAAACCTTCTACCGTCCTTCCATAGCTTGTAGGAGACAAAAAAGAGGATATACTACTTATTTACGTTACTGACCCGGCTCTATCGGGAGTTTCAACTGTTCTATGTGAACGATCCTCCGTTTCCTGGGATCGTTCAGACTCTGAATTGTACAAAGATTGTGTTCGCGAAGTACAATCACTTTGAATGGTCCTTCGTAGCGTGCCAGTTCTTTCCCCCTATTAGAACCTACCCTACGATAGACCGTCGTCCCTATCTTCAATTCCCCCATTCTGTCCTTGAGGTTCAGATTGGCCTTCTCCACCCTTTTCCGTTTTTCCCGCTCTATTTTCGCTCTTGTTTTTTCCCACACCCTCTTTATCTCTGCTCTGTTACAAGTGATCCGTTGAGCTAGTACTTCGTCCGTGAGTGTTTCCATCCAATCCCGTCGCCGCATATTTACTCCAAACAATACCTCGACCGGAGAAAATCCTGTAACGGAGTGGATTGAATGATTATAAGCCGCTACTGCTCTTTTCATGGCTACATCCCCTTCCAATCCCTGCTCCCCTTGATAAATACGTAGGTGGTCGCTTAAAGTGCTGTGCAACCTCTCGATATTTCCTCTGCCCTTTGTATGTCCCGGAGTATTAAAATGCCAATCTATATCCAATTGTTTAACCTCCTCACGTACGGTACTGTTGTCGAACTCCCTCCCTCCGTCCGACGTTATGCGATCAGGCACTCCGTAGAACTGGGCCCACGTTTGTAGAGCCCCCACAACCGCATCCGACAACTTATCTCGTACTTAATGTGTCATTGCTACCTTGCTGAAGAGGTCGATCATTGTAATCCACTTAAACCCCCTCCACGTAAATGTATCAATTTGCACATCTTTCAATGGCATGTCTCCCGTAGGGGTTTCCTCCTGTAATCCTTGAGGTGGCCGGCTATCGTATTTAGTACGCGCGCACACTTCGCATCTCCCAATGATTTCGGCAATTGTCTTCCTCATGCCATCCCAAAAATATCTTCTGCGCAACGCTTGAAACGTCTCTTGTTCTCCCCAAAGGTTGGTCTTGCCCTGGTGATGTGCCAGTGTTACTTCCTTTTGCTGCTCCTTGTCTATCAACGTTTCAACTAGGTATTTGCATTTAATGAACGACCTATCGACGCCTATTTTCTCTGCTCCTTAGAGTTTTTTGATCTTCTCCCAGACGGTCGCATTGCCCACATACAAATGGTAAATCTTTCCGACTCTGAAGCGTCGTGCAAGGCTTACAATCTCTTCTTCTTTCACCCCTGGTTGGGACCAAATGGTGTTAATTTTCTTCTTGCCGTATTTACTGAAGTCGATCTTCATGAGCCCCGACGTTCTGGTCTTCCAAATGACCTGTCGTCGCTTGTCGTTGATGATCTCCTCACATTCTTCCATGTCTGTAGGCCTTTCGTCTACCGAGCTCTCTTCTCCTCTCGACTCCTCTGCTCCCACATCCCCGGGTTCCCCTTCCCCTTCCGGTGTCCACGTTCTTAAAAACTGCCGCACGTCCCTCGACGACTCCCCTTCTTCCTCCTCGATGGCATTTATCATGATGGCTCTGGACAGCCAGTCCGCTACCACATTTTCCTTACCCGGCTTGTACATGACCTCCATATTGTACTGGCTTAGAAATTGCTTCCACCGAGTGACCCTTGCTGACGATTCCTTCAGATTACCAACCCATTGCAGCGGTCTGTGATCGGTATGGACTTTAAATTTTCTGCCAAAAATATATGGCCTAAAATGCCCTACTGCCCATACTATCCCAAGAGTTCCCTCTCCAGGGCGCTATACCGCGTTTCCGCGTCTGTAAGCCGCCGACTTGCATATGCTACCGGTTGTTCCCCATTACTTCCTTCTTGAGCAAGTACCGCCCCAACGCATACTCACTCGCATCCGTAGTGATGACAAATGTCTTCGTAAAATCGGGAAAAGCGAGTACCGGCTTATCTTGTAACCTTGCCATGCACTTTCTTACATTGTCCTCTATTGCTGGCGTTATTGCTATCTTCCGGCCTTTCTTCAGAAGGTTATTAAGAGGTGCTAAATACTCCGCCATTTCCGGCACGAACCGACGGTAATAGTTTAGTGTTCCTAATAACCTGCGGATACCTTTTACATCCCTGGGCATCGCCATATTCTGTATTGCCTCGACCTTCTGTTTATCGGGCCTGATCCCCTCCTTCGAAATGGAATGTCCCAAAAAGGTTATCTGGTCCTGTCCCAAAATCGACTTTTCCGCTGATAATTTCAACCCAAATTGCCGTAATCTGTCGAATACGCGCCCCAAATGATCAACGTGTTGCTCTTCATCCTTACTAAAGACCAAGAGATCGTCCATGTATACTTGACAGAATTCTTCATCCAATCCCCTCAAGAATTCGTCCATAAATCTCTGGAAAGTTATGGGAGCGTTCTTTAAACCAAATGGCATCCGAGTAAACTCGTAATGCCCCCTCTCGAAAGAAAACGCCGTTTTGTGTTGATCCCTGGGGTTCATACGAATTTGGTGGTAGCCCGCCTTTAAATCCAAAGTACTAAAAATGGTTGCCCCACTAAGCCTGTCAATAATATCATCAAATCGCGGAAGCGGGTACTTCTCGTCTAGGGTGTTGTCATTGAGCTTTCTGAAGTCTACCACTACTCTGTACTTCTGCTCTCCCGACGACGTCTTTTTCCTCACCGCCCACAGGGGACTATTGTACGGTGACGTGCTGTCCACGATGATGCCCTGCTTCTTCAAACTTTCCAGCTCCTCCTTGATATGGCGACGTAGAGCCTGTGGGTAACGTCGCTCCTTCACGTACGTCACCTTTTCCTGTTTTAACGGAATCTCATGTGCCGTCCTCCCCGTTGCTCTCAATACCTCCCCCTCTTTAAAAAAAATATCCGCGTATTCCCTCTTTATCCTTTGTACCCAATGTTCCGCTTGTTCTATTGCCCCAATGTTCCCTCTTTCCTCCCACTCTCCCTTTCTTACACCGGTACCTCTTCCCTCCCATTCGCACCCTCCAACCCGTTCCCCTGTAATCTATTCTTGGTCTCACTCTACTCAATAGGTCACATCCTATTATACCCCCGTATTCCCTCGGCATATTCTCTACTACATGAACCCTCAACTTCCCACTTCCTGTTACCCATTTGTCTAGATCCAATTCTACTTCCCCTTCTATCCTACATGGACCACCCAAAGTAATCAACCTACACGTACATTTTTTTATTCTCGGTATCCTCTCTCCTTTACACAACTCCTCCAACATCTGTCTAGATACTAATGTACTAGAACTTCCCGTGTCCACCTGACACTTTCCCTTCCCCACAACACTTATGATTGGCAAACCAACGCACTTACCTCCAATATTATTTACTACCGCGTGGCTGCCTCTCCTCTGCTCCTCTCCTCATTTGTCTGATCTTCCTCTCCTGTCCGCGACGGCTCCCCCTTCTCCACTCTTTCTGCTAATTCTGCCTCCTCGAGCTCCTCTTACCACCGGCTCCTCCTCCTCGGTTCCAGATGTTCCCGACGAATCGTCCGACTCCGATGCCGCTCCTCTCTTCCTCCACAATCTCTGGGCGTTCACTTCCATCGGCTCATCTCGGCCCACTTCTCCCCGTCTACTCATATACGGGCATTGTCTGGCAATGTGCCCCTCAGTCCCGCATTCGAAACATCGGGTTCGCGGGCAATTCGCTAGTAGGTGACCTATCTTTCCGTACCCGTGGCATCTCCTGTCCTCCTTTGCCCATTTCCTTCTCTCCTTCCCTGGCTTCCTCTCCTTCATCGCCGTTCTTTCTCTTGCACTCACTTCTCCTCCTCTTTTCTTCCAGCCTTCCTGTCTTGTTTTAAATCTTCCGGTTTCC